CTACGGAAGTATATCCTACGCGACAGCAAGGAAATCTCATATCAAAATCATCGACACAATTCAACACTCCGCGATAAGAATTGCACTAGGAGCCTTTTGCACTAGCCCAACTACCAGCATGCTATGCCTCGCCAACGAACCTCCATTAGTTTTTCGTAGAAAGTTTCTCACATTTAACTTCGCCATTAACACAGCAGCTCACAGAACAAGAAACCCCAACAGCCTCTCCTCCACTTTTTCCAAAAAATTTAAAAACGAATTCTCGAAAAACCAAAACCTCTCACCCCCCTTATACGAAAGGATAAATCGCTTGGAAAAAGAAACCAACTTCTCCATTCCAAAAAAAGTTCTCCCATGGTTTAACACTACTACCCCACCGTGGACTCAACAAGCGATAAATACCAACTTAAACCTGACCAAACATCCAAAAACAGAAACACCACCAGCACTGATACTAGCCGAATTTAACTGCATCATTAAATCGTACCAAAATTATTCCATCATCTACACCGACGCATCTAAGTCAGACAACAGAATAGGAGCAGCAATTATCACCCCAAAAAGCAAACGGAAGTTCCGCCTGCCTGCATTGTGCAGCACGTTCACAGCAGAAATCTACGCAATTTTACAAGCCATTAACTACATAGCATTACATCAACAAGAAAACTATGTGATATGCACAGACTCCCTCAGCTCTATCTTAATCCTAAGACAAATATACCCCAAAAACCCACTCGTCCAAGAAATTCGAAGAAAAATCGATAACTTGTCCAATTCAATAATTTTCCTATACACACCATCACATATCGGAATCCCTGGGAATGAGGATGCAGATAGAACAGCTAAAGAAGCTACAACACAAAACACACCAATCACAGATTTGTTCCTGCCAAACGACCTAAAGAACCAGTTTCGGAAAATCATCAACAACCAATGGCAGGAGAAATGGAATCCGACAGACACTCATCTTAAACAAGTGAAACCCCTAACACAACCCACTTTGCCTATACCCACAAAACGAAGATCTCAGGTCATAATCAACAGACTACGGCTAGGACACACACGAATGACACATCGCTTCCTAATCACCCGCGAAGACCCTCCTAGCTGCGACACATGTCAAACAAGATTAACAGTCGAACACCTTCTCTTCAGATGTCCAGATTACACAGCACAGAGAAACATGCTGTACAGCTCCAACACAAATTCCTTAAAAGCACTGACCGACATCGAGAGTTGCAAAGAAATCGTGAAATTTATAACCAACAACCAAATCACAATATGAATCTCTAGTACAAAAACCCAACTAACCAAAACACCAAATTGTACCTATACACACATAGAAGAGAAAAGGAAATACACACATATACAGACACACCATCACACCCCCACCAACACACCCTCACACCAACACACACACCCTCACATACACACCACACTCATACAATAATACTACACCGCTAATAACCCCAGCGGTTGATGCGGAAAAAGAAAAAAAAATACTTTCAAAGGATGTGCGAGAAATTTTAAATTGGAATTAACAAAACAATCGAGAGAGCTATTTCCTTACCGACAGTATCCTTAAGATACCGATCACGGCCGAGTACGGAACAATTGTCACTTGACGCGACACCGTTGTCTTTTGATCTCGAACGAAACCCGTAATTTTGTACCCGTATACGAAAACATAAACATTTCCAATTTTGAAACCACTAAAAAAGCAAAGCTTGCCAAAAATATGCTAACACGGTGCTGATTTAAGCGCCACCTTATGTTGTAGTCAATAAACCTCGCATATCTCAAGCAATTATTTTTATTCATCTTTATATTTGCACCAAGTTATTGTGATTTACTACTTTTCATCAATAATAATTTTGCTTTAAACCAGTAGAATTTGATAGTCATTAATAATTTGACAATATTCATTCTCGAACGACTTGAGGATTTGGATTAGCAAGGAACCTTTTATTAAAATTGTGTTATACGGTCACACATAAATAGTATTCGATATCTCATATATGTATATGTAGCTTTTAAATTCAAAATTTGCAAAGAATGCCTTGTGCTTCTTAGGTCTAGCATGTACATTCTTTATGGATATAAGTATTTTGTGTTCAGTACTTCAATAAATATGCGTGTTTAGGCATACAAAGTACAAACCACAGGCTTTCGAATCTATAATATACATCTATGGAATATCACGTATCTTTTATGTACATTAAAAATAAATCTCCTCTTGATGATATTCTAATGTATATATACATGGGACTATAAAGTATGTATGTACGTTTTGGATTAGATCTCCATGCGATTGTTTCTGGATTACAGACGTGCTATCGTTAACGTCACGTTTTTGTGAATTACGGCGATGCGGATAATAAATCGCATTCGTTTTTTAAAATCGGGAATGTGATTCCGAGTTACAAGAGTTTATTTTTCTAATTTGCCCACTTCAAAGGATAAATTTGTTGTCGGGCAGATTGTGAACTGCTATATTTTGTAAATTGTGTGAATCGATGTCTAATTGTCTTTTTGTTGTACAATTGTAAATGGCAACTAGTGATTATGAAAATAGTGAAATAGAGGAAATGTGCGAGAAAATAGAATGTCTAATGGAGAAAGAAGAAAGAGGTATTAGTATTGGAGAAGGAAGAATTGACAGAGTGGCTAGAGATTATGGATTGGAAACAAGGAATGTAGGGGGTATACGCCTAATAGAATTCAGCAAAAAAAGGAAGATGGGTATAGCAAACACTTGGTTCGACAATTTTAAAAGAAACTTTGCACCTGGAAATCCTCCTGAGACAAATATCGAAAGCAGATTGATTTCCTCATTAAAGAGAGATACAAAAATGGATTGAAAAATGCGTGTGGATTGCCAGGTACAGATATTAATAGCGACCATGTTCTTTTGTTGGCAGAGTCGCAAAAAGGGTTAAGGAATGGGATGTGGTTAAGGGAGATGGATAAAGAATATGGAGGAAGGGCAATGGGGATTGAAATGAAAAGGGAGGTTGCAATGAAGCGATATGAAACTACAGAAGACGAATGGAAGAGCATGAAGAATGCGATAATAAAAATGGCTGAGAACTGAGAGGGAGGTGGGGTATAGGCGAGGAAAAGGGCAAAGAAAACATGGATAACATGAAATGATTGAAACTATGGTAGAAAGAAGGAAGTATAAGCGGCAAAATACGACAGAGGGAAGAAAGAAATGCCGACGATTGAATAATGAATTAAGAAGAGAAACTAAACGGCGGAGGCTAAATAAATGCAAGGAGATGGAAGAGCTCGATCGAATAGGAATGCACGACATCGTGTTCAACAAGATAAGAAATGTGCTATGGCATAAAGGAACAACTCAAAGCAAGATAGCTATTGGCATCGAAATCGAGGACGGAAAGGTGCTAACGGAGAATAACCAAGCACTGAATAGATAGAAACAATGTATGGAAAAGTTAGATAAAGCAAATGAGAAACTTGAACGAATAAATATAGAGGAAAAATTGGAAGTATCAGAGGAAGGTAAGCGTGGGAATATTTTGATGTCTGAAATTAAGCCGGCTATATTTTGTTGTTATTTGTGTAATGAGATTTACGAAGGTAGAGTGTGGCCCCTTAGTACGTTACAATACCGCTTCAGAAAAAGAAGGAAACAAAGCAATGCGAGGAACACAAAACCATCAGTGTCATAAGAGGTTGAGGAGGGCAGAGGGCGAAGATCAATTTTTATTCTGAAGGGGTTTGGGAACCAGGGATGCAATCGCAGTAGTAATGGCGAAAAACTATCAGCGATTTTATGGGATAACGGTGTGGTTTGAAGAGAAAGAAGATTGATCAGCAACTTGTACACGAAGCAGGACGTGGCACTGAAGGTGGTTGATAACATGAGTGAATGGTTTGGAGGAGTTAGGTAGGGATGTTGTCTATCAACAACTTTATTTAATATCTATATGGAAGATATGATGCGCAGTGCTGGGAATGGAATAATGAAGTAAAAATAGGTGTCAGATTTGCTGATGATAGGATCAAATTTTCTCAAAACAAGCAGGAATTGAATGAAATCTTGAAACGACTGGAAGATATGGAAGACACGTATGGATTGAGAATTAACCACAAGGAGAAGGGAATTAAAGTTAGAGCAGAGGAAGTGAATGTAAGGGTAAGGGGATGGAAATTGGAACAAGTGAAAACAAGTAAATACTTAGGCCAATCAGACGACTGGTTAAGTGAAAAGGAGATAATGAAAAGAATTAGAATGGCCAGCCAGCGTATATAAATGGAGGTCGTGCTTAACAGTTAAAAGATGGATTCAGAATTGAGAAAAAGGCTGGTGAAATGGTTAGTTTGGAGTGTTCTGTTCCATGGGTGTGAGATATGGACATTACATAAAAGAGAATTAGGAAGACTAGAAACATTCGAGATGGGGATTTGGAAAAGGTTGTTAAAAGTAAAATGGAGTGATAAGGTTAGAAATGAGAAAGTATTAAGAAGAGCAGGAGAAGCAAGACAACTGTTAAGCAATATTAGAAAGAGAAAGACACATTGGGTGGGCCACGTGTGGGGGGGAAATAGAATGTTGAGAAACGTATTGGAGAGATCGGTGGAGACGAAAGGTGAAGGGAAGCGAAGAACAAAAAGGAAATGGATTAAGGGTTTGAAGAAGGGAACCGGCTATGTTGGGATGCAGAGAGAGGCAATGGATAGGGAGTTGTGGAGGAGGCATGTTACCTAAAAACCTGACCACTAGCAGATAACTTAAAAAAACCACAAAATGGGCCATTAGTGTTTCCATTTGAAAATGTCTGTATTTAATTCGTTTATTCTACTACCTATAGACCGAATGTACTTTCCATAGATTACTTATCCATATATCGACCACTTTAAACGAATTCAAAACACTTGAGATAAAAAACAAAAAAAATAATTTAAAAAATGTAATTACTATCTGACAAAAACTGACAAGGTAGCAAATACACGTGCTATTTAAATTACACAACTATAATACGTCTTATATATGTGTAATAGTAGTTCGAAATAATAACGTGATAGTTCGGTAACTATTACGTTATTACCTAAAAAACGTTATCTACGTGTGCCACTGCTACCTGGGAAGTACGTCTAATTATTGCCTTTTCGAAACCATTTGCCGATAACGTCTAACTTGAGACGACCAAGCCTGTGCCACGAAAGCCAAAATAGAACAAAAGGAACTTGAACTGCAACACAATTCACGAATAAGAATATTGTGAATTCGGTATGCATAACAAAGAACTGAGGAAGATATAGACTACACGCGCCCTGATAAGAGTTTTGTGATAATGTTTAAGACAAAAATACCGTACTTATCCACTAATCTTTATTTTGAGAGATCGACAAGACCAATAAATAGGGTTAAAGCAAACAAATCAGTTATAGTCAACTTGAGAAATGACGCCAATTTTGTCGGTGCTACTTATAATCGCGTATTCAACAATTGTTTCGTGTGATGAAGACCCGTTGGTGTTAACTCCTTTACTGAATAGTGGAAAGCATGAAGAAGCCCAAACAAAGTCAAAAGTGAACTTAGCCGCGTTGCCGAATATCAGCAGCCATTCCGGTTACTTTAAAGTTTCGGATACGCACAACTCGCACATGTTCTTCTGGTTTTTCAAATCGGAACGTAATGTTACAACTGATCCTATAATACTTTGTTTACAAGGTGGTCCCGGTTTCACTGCACTAATTTGGCCATTTTTGGAAAGCGGCCCGCTGAAGGTAAACTCAGAAATAAAACTCGAAAAAATGCCGAACTCGTGGACGTCGTTTGCTTCGGTCTTATACATTGACAACCCGGTAGGCGTTGGCTTTAGCTTTGGAGATAGATACCCCAATAACATCGACGCGGTCACTGTAGAATTGTACGACGCCGTTCGTCAGTTCTTTCAACTGTTTCCGACCCTGAAGACCAACGAGTTTTACATTGTAGGCGAATCGTATGCAGGAAAATATGCGAGCCGGCTCGGTAAGAAGATTTTAGAGATTAACGCGGCGGATTCCAATAAAACGATCAACTTGGTCGGGATTGCATTTGGTAACGCTTTAGTTGATCCTCAGCGTCAATTCAAATACTCAGAATACCTGTTTCACACCGGTCTAATCTCTAAGGCCGCAAAAGCGAAGATAAAGGTACTTGAAGATAAGCTAGAAACGGGCGATAGTGCAACTGTCTTTGAAGAATCTGGGAAAATATACGACGAATTCACTAAAGAGTCGGGATATCAACACATATACAGTATTAAGGACCAGCTTGGTGATCATGTACTTGGGATGATAAAAATGGATATGTTTGTAGATAATGAGGACTTTAAAAAAACCTTGCATGTCGGAACTAACGAATTTTTACTTTACAACGGGGATATAGCGGGTGCACTAACAGATTTATTAGTCCCAATACCCAAAGATGTGGAATATCTATTGGGGAAAATTAGAGTTCTTGTATACGATGGACAAAGTGATGTTTCTGTTCCGTTGGTCGGCACTATAAACTATTTAAGACAATTGAATTTTGATGGATCTTCCGATTATAAAAATGGGGATAGGGAAATGTGGAAATTGAATAACGTACTTGTTGGTTACATTACGAGAGCAAAGAAACTTACACACGTTATTGTGCGCAATTCTGGTCATATGGTGCCATTGGACCAACATGATGTTGCTTATAATATGATCATGAAGTTCTTAAGTAAGACGCTTTAGAGAAAACTGTATTTACCACTTATTGGGTGTTGTAGGGCGATTAAAAAATGTTAATAGACCTTCATTTTATTACCTACTTAAGAACTTATCAATAAATTGATATGACTAGTTTACTTGTTGATTATTGTTAAATATCCTAACAAATAAATCTAACTCATCCGCCATGTGCATTATAGGTACTTCGGTTCCAGTCCGTAGATATCACTTAATTTTATACAGGGTGGTGACTTGCGTAACGCATCATAGGGATTGCAATGTAAAATTCATAACATGCGATTATTGGCTCCCCAAATTATTTTAGAGCAAAAATGTCGCCGCCTCTCCCAGGATTTAGTCAACTGTCGTGAGGATGCGTCCCTGGTAGACACTATCAGGGACGTTTCTCCACTACTTTGTTGCCATCGCGCTGGGCCGCGACATATGCCAAACAATGTGGTGGATTTTGTGGATTGGGGGGGTTGTGGGGGGGCGGCTAACTGGGTGTTATCCGACCCGAACGGGTACGGCCACAGCTTCGCCACTGGTATTCTGCCTTAGAGGGAACTCTGCTTTCTAGTGATAGCTTCTTATCCGGGCGTTCATTGGCTTCCGATGTTCCTATCCTTTGGTCTCGTTCCCTTCCCGGTTTTCCCTCGTGTTAGGCCCTTTTTATTGTTGTCCTCTCCCTGCGTTACTTTCTGTCCCCTTTTCCTCCTCCCCTTGGCTTCTTCCTCCACCTCCAGTATTCTTCTGCTTTCTTTCTTCCTTGATGTGTGTCTTTGCTCTTTTCTTCCCATCTTCCCATGGTAATCCCCGAGACCTCTACCGTTTGGTTTATGGTGGTGCTCCATGTGTGGCAGGGTCGGCGTACCTTCCATTCCGAGGCACACAGAATCTTGGCAGCCCGTATGATATGGTCTTTGTTCCTCTTGTTGGTATGTCCAGTATCTCATCTGAATCATCTTCAGTCTCCTGGTAATCGTCTTTCCTTCTAGTAGTTCTCTTCTCTGCTTTCTTGTGAGGTTGCTGTTTTCTTCAGTATCCTGAGTGCCTTCCACTCCGCCCTCCTCAATGTTCGTCTGTTGCTCCTTGTTAGCGCTGAAGTGTTAATTCCGTATAACATTGTCGGTGCTATGTTCGTGTTGTAAATCATCATTTTCCAGCTGCCCGGTATTTTCTTCTCTCGTAAGAAGTTCCAGATTCCGTGTGTGCTTCTGAATGCGTTGGTTATTCTGTCTTGCACTGCGTTGTGCCTGCTGAAGGTGCTGCTTATGTACGTTCCCAGATATTTGATCTTGTGCTTCATGGTTATCTCCTTCTCGGCTATTATGGTCTTCTCTCCTTCTTTGTACTGGGGGTGTTGTTTCTTGGCACTCTTATCATCATGTAGCTCTTTTCGTTGTGTATTTGTAGGTCCACCATTTCCAGGTGTACCTGGTACCACGCTGGCCTGGACGAAGTCCTCAGTGTCTTATAAATTATCCGGGATTACAAATAGATCGTCCGCGTACGCCAGTAATGTCGGTAGTAGTAATTGGCCGCCTGTGCTAAGGTTCGTCACCACCATCCTTGTTTGTTCTATAGCGTGGTCAAGTGCTATCGCGAAGAGCCTTGGGGAAGCGGACATCCTTGTTTGATCCCCCTGGTTTTCTTTGGTGTTCGGGTTTCTTCCAAAACCATTGTATACTAGTATACTCCCTTTGCCACGCGTTTATGATTCTGTTGATTAGGAATTTGGGTAGTCCCAGCATCGCCCACGCTGTCATTGGTATATTATTTTCTGTTTCCCCCTTGTTTCCTCCTTTTGTATTTTTTGATGTGCCTATACCATTACATTTGCATATTCCTCTTCATTGGTCTGAGTTTGGCGATGTTCTCCGCGAACACGGCGAATTCCTTGATTTCGTGTTGCTCATAGGCTCCGTTTTCTTCTTCCTTGGCTTCCCTTAGCTCCTTCTTTGTTTCAGGTTAGTGTGGGTTTTGGCCCGCTTTCTGTTCGGTCACATGGGCGTTTCTGTTTCCCTAGTGTATTCTTTGTTGTTTCTTTGAGCGTTTCGCCGATCTTTTCCGATATGGTATCCCTTCCCCCTTTTTGCTTCTAATCTCTTACTGCTCCTTTCGGTACTCCTTTCTTTTGTTCTCCCCTGACAGAAGTTTCACATCCCACCCTTCGGTTTCCCCGCTGTGCTCCTTGTCCTTTGTTCTCCCCCCTCCCTCTTGACTTTCCCCTTTACCGTTTTGTGGTCCGATCCTACTGTTTTTGCCCATATGTCTGCTGTGTTCCTTTCCTCCTCTTCACTTTCGTCCAGTCTGCCTAGTTGCGTACTGAGGCCGCCTAGTATGATACCTAAGTTCTTTCCGCACTTTTTTCTGTTGTTTCACTACGATTTCTGAGTTCCGCCTGTCCTCTTTGGCCCGAGGGGATGTGGCATCCTGTGATTGTTAGTCTTCCTATTTTCATCTTGATTTGGGCCATGGATATACTCTTGCTTTTCCTTCAAATTTCTCCACCTCAATGCCTCGGTGCTTCTTGACTACGATTTCCGTAACTCTGCTGGTTCTCTCCACCTATCCGTCTACGTCTCCTACCAATTGTGGGTAGAAATCTTCCAGGTTTTCCCTGATGTATGCGTTGATTTCTTTTTTAATCCTTTGCTGAATTTCCTGAGAGGCTCTGATGTCCCTGGCAATCCCCTCCGTTGGTGCGCAATCGTTCCAAACAGGCAGTCCCCGTCCTTATTTATACTGATGCATTCTAGGATGTGTTCTTTTGATCGCACTTCTATTTGATCGCTGATACTTGTCATTAAGGTCTTAATTCTGATTTGGGTGGTGGGTGCTGTTTGTTAATCGCTAAAAGAGATATCTAGGAGAGATAATTTAGTTAAGTTACTTGTTATGTCACTGAGACGCGTCCCTTCAGTCTATCTTTGGCCACCCCGTATATTCTATTCTGTGAGACTCTAAACTAAAGGTACTAACGAGAATAAAAAGGTGTAAAAAAACAGGAAAAAAAGCCGCTTAAATTTGGTAAGAAAGGTTTCCTTTTTTGTCAATCATGCCTATTAAACCGAAATTTGAGAGTTTAAATATTGTAGGTAATTTATGTGTATAGTTTCTTTATATGTCTCCGGTTGACAAGTTTATATTTCCTTTCCCAAGGGTCAATTTGTTCCGCCCCGCTTCGAAGTAGGTATATTCAATGCAGCTCCCAGTGACTTGGGCCGCTCTATTCTATCTTTTCTCCTTTGTTCAATTTTAAATTAAATTTAGCCTTAATTCTAAGTAAGTAAGTGAGTAAGTAAGCAAGCAAGTACTTATCTTAACTTTACGCCCTTTTTGTTCTGTTGATTGGAGGTTCCTGCCCTGTCTTCTCACGATTTAATTAGTCCCGCGCGTTATGCATCTTGAGATTAAACTTAATACTTTAAAAATTCGTAAAATCTCAACCACTGAACCGATTTCGATCAAATAATACTAAACAATTACAAATTTTTGTGCGCTCCCGGCCACACAGGACAAACATTTTTAAACCTATATACAGTCACAAAACCACTAAAATCAGCCGGAGCTGGCTCAAAACACGTCCGTTCGCCATGAAAGACGAACTTCTAACCTCAAAAATGTATTAAGATTTTTTGTAGAAAAATTTTTTTTACACCAATCAACCGTATTAGTTTTCAATTTTTTTCATGTAAAGACGGAAAATTGGAAAAAACACCGCATCTTTTTCAATAATCTGCGACTGCGATGCCATGGAATTTTCTAAAACAAAAAGATACTTATCCAGTTATCAATTAGCAGCAGTTCGAAATGGATTTTATGATCGACTGGGTTACTGTATTGCAGTTAATGGTGACTTACTCGAACATTTATTGTAAATTGTTATATCAGGAAACCGCGTTTAGTAATTTGGTCTTTCTTTATGTCGAATTCGCTGTTCTAAATATAATACTTTTTGATAAAATTTGATTTGTTTTATAGCAGACATTCCATGGCATGACGGATATTGGCGTAATTTTTGTATTATAAAATTCCATGGCATCACAGACTATTGAAAAAGATGTGGGTTTTATTTTCCAATTTTCCGTCTTTTTTATGCAAAAAATTGAAAACTAACACGGTTGATTGACGTAAAAAATTTTTTTCTACAAAAAATCTTAATACATTTTTGCTTTAAAATAATTTGGGGAGCCAATAATCGCATGTTATGAATTTTACATTGAAATCCCTATGATGCGTGACGCAAGTCACCACCCTGTATACTGTGTAGTAAGCCGCCGCACACCAAGCTTAACGCCTCTCACCGACAACGTACCCGCTTTTCATTCGCTTTTTGGTGCTTATGTTGCGCACCGGCTATTGTTAGGTTTGGTTACGAGTTTCATTACGTTATTATTTCATCCAGGTAAGACCAATACAAAAACCTTCGGAACGTATTTTCCTTTTTAGGATTAGCATGGGCAAATCAAAGAATCACAAGCGCAGCCGTTCTGGAAGCCGAGATGAGTTGGCGGAAAACTCAATTGCTTAGAACGGGAGCACGAGAACAAAGGCTTTTTTCCCTTCGGTTCGAAGGGAGAGCCCTAGAGGTCGCGAAGGTCGTAGTCTGAGAGATTCGAATTCGCACCGTTCCGTGTCTCCAGAATTGTTGGGGGGCCGAGGTCGCTGAGGTCGTGTTGCGGATCGGCATTCATGTAGTCGAAGTGGACGACCGGATTTATCAGCGCAAGGTAAAACGATGCCGTCTCTATTAATAGAAACGCTGTTGGGGATCTTTCGCCGCGGGAGAGGGATTTCCAAGCGACACGACAGGACGCAGGCTCCCTTCTTGACCCAAGGTGAAACAATGACGATGACGTGCTGATTTTACAAGACGAACTTGATATTTCGGAGGAAACCTTGCAGTTATTATGTGACAATCCGGGACAGCCGACCATAACCGGTTTTAATTTACATCCTGCGCTGACCCCAAGATGGTCGTATTATATTTCTAATGGCTTAACAAAAGACGAGCTAGCTTCCCTCTGAGAAAAACACGTGCCGCGGGTAAACTGTACCGTTTTGGCTCCACCGAAAATGAACCCGGAGATCAAAGCAATTATGTCTGCGGCTCACAAT